TCAGAAGGAATAAACTACTTCTATGTGATTTACCACAATAACTACATTTCATGGCTCTTTCTTTGCTATGAATTATCTTATGTTGTTTAAGGACTGAACTTTGGGGAAAATTCTTCCTATATTAATTTTGTTTACAAGACTTTTCTCTGGTATGGCTTCTCTGATGTCCAATAAAAACTGAGCTAGCTCTTCATATGGGCTTTCCCACAGTCATTACATCAGTAGGGTTTATTTCCACTATGAGTCTTCTGATGTCCAGCAAAGGATGTATACCTGAAAGATTTTCCACATTTACTACAGCTATAGGGTTTATCTCCTGTATGCATCTTTGATGAGTAATAAGAGTTGAGCTCTTCCTAAAGCCTTTTCTGCATTCATCATACCAGTATGGTTTCTCATCAGTATGGATTTTCTTATGTTCCAACACAGTTGCGTTATCCCTGAAAGCTTTCCCACATTCATTACATACAAAAGGCCTTTGTCCACTATATATTCTCTCATGATGAGTAAGGGCTACCTTCTGAGCAAAGACTTTCGCAGTCTTTACATTTGTAAGGATTTCTGACTGGTCTGAATTCTCTGATGACCTAAAAGGATAGAGTTCTTTCTGAAAGCTTTTCCACATGCATTGCATTTATAGGGTTTGTCTCTAGAATGAATTCTCTAATGATTAATAATTGTTGAGTGCTTCTTGAAGAATTTCCCACATTCAGTACATCTATAAAGTTGTTTTCTTATGTGAATTTTATGATGATTAAAAGAAATGAGCTGCTCATAATGACTATCAAACATCGTTTATGTTTATGGGATTTCTTACCAGTATGATATCTCTGGTGTCTAATAAAGGAGGAATTTGAAGACTTTCCTACATTATAGTACTACTTCTCTATGGAGCTTCTGTCCTCCCACTTCAGGCCTATATCAACTATGACACTTTTTGTTTGCCCTTTCAGAGCAGACAGTTCAGAAGTATTTTGCTTTAGGGCTGACATCTTTGTTTCGAACCAGTACACCTGGACTGCACAGGTACCTGGTGGAACTTCTCACACTTCCATCCAGGGCTCTGCCCCTTGCTCCAGTTGGGCTATTAATTTTGGTTTGAAAGAGAGAAAAGCCCCATAACAACAGATTCCTATAGATTTCCAACATCATATCTCTGTACATGTCCATTGAATGGCATCCAGGTATCTTCATTCAATCTGGGTAGAGGCCATAGCCTCATCCCCAAATGTCAAGGATCCCTAGATCCAGGCTCTTGGTAGTCTTGGAGCCATCTGTCTTCTGAAGTATTCTTCCATGCAAGGGCAGAGAACACTGCTTAGACCAATAGTTCTGGATGCTAGAAGTCCAAAATCAAGGTGTTGGCAGGGTTGGTTCCTTCTGAGACTCTGAGTAGAATCCTTCTTTGACTCTTCCTAGCTTCTGGTGATCACTGTCAGTCCTTGACTTTCCTTGCCATGCAGCTGTATCATTTCAATCTCCGCTTCTGTCATCACATGGCATTCTCCCTATGTGTCTTTCTAGATCATTGATTTTAGACTTTTCTTCTTTTCCAAAATAAGCATTTAAAGCTATAAATGTCCCTCTAAACGTTGCTTTAACTGCATCCCACTAATTTTAATATGTTCTGTTTTCAGTTTCATTTAGTTCAAAATACTTTCTAAACTTTCATGCAGTTTTAACCTACACTTGGTGTAAATTTGTATTATACCAAGGGAACCACTGTCCAGCTGTCTGGAGGTCTTTCTCTGTGTAGCTTCCTCCTTTCCGGTAGTCTCTAGCTATCATAGTCACCCTGAACTCTGTTTCCTCAACTCAGCAAGACCACCCTACTCTGCTTGGGTTCTTCCTGTTACACAGTCTGCAGCATGCCTATCCTGTAAACGGAAAACCAAGGTGGTCCTAGGGCTCACCCTTGTTTATTTCCTTTCTCTCTGGGATCACAGTCCCAGACCACATGTTGTTCAGTGTCCAAAAACAATTTTTTCATATATTTTGTCTAGTTTTCTAGTTTCTCATGGTAGAAAAGCAAGTCCTATGGCAATTTCTCCTTCAAGGGCAGAAGTGGAGGTTACAGTACATTAAAAAAATTTAAATAAAATAGTGGCTTACAGAAAACTGCAAGCTATTTTCATCTTTGTGGACCTTTTCACTATATTAAATATGAGAGACTTTTTCTGAGAAGAATGATGGAAAGTTGATATAAAGGTAACTGAAAGTAGTTACTGATGTAACAATTTACTGATTTCAACAAACTCTGTACACTCAGCTGTTACCAAGATTCATACCATTGGTTATTGCTTAGGAAAGTGGATGAGGAAATGAGGAGCATTTCCATAGCTCTTGGTAACTTCATTTTTTTCATAGTTTCTATTTATTCATCTTTTCTTAAGTAAGTTCTGTTTTTTTCTGGCCTCTAAATTGTCTTGTCTGATGTTAGGTTGGTGCCCATGTTTCTCTCTTTTTGTTTAACGAGCAATGGCAGGGACTTCCCTGGTGGCACAGTGGTTAAGAATCCGCCTGCCAATGCAGGGGACACGGGTTCGATCCTTGGTCTGGGAAGATCCCACATGCCACAGAGCAGCTGAGCCTGTGCACCACAACTACTGAGCCTGTGCTCTAGAGCCTGCGAGCACAGCTACTGAGCCCACATGCCACAACTACTGAAGCCCATGCACCTAGAGCCCTTGCTCTACAACAAGAGGAGCCACCGCAGTGAGAAGCACGCACACTGCAACAAGGAGTAGCCCCCGCTCGCCGCGACTAGAGAAAGCCTGCGTGCAGCAATGAAGACCCAACGCAGCCAAAAATAAATAAATTTTAAAAAAGAAAGAAAGAAAGAACAGTGGCAGATTGGCTTCCATAGTGCTTGACTCCATAATCCAGAAGGCTGCCTGTTTTTCTCTTATCTCTCAGTTGACTGGTGTCCACATTTAGTAATTGTTTCCTGGGAGTCACGATGGCTTTGGCAGATTATCCAGTTGTTGCTTTAGTCAGTCATAGCCCTTTTTCAGTTATGTGTACATGCAGACATGACTATCCATCTATTCAGTGGTTTGATTCTACTACATATTTTCTATATGTAATTCTACAATAAAATTTTATATTATAACCCCAGGGCTAGGGCTAGGGTGAAGAAAGAGGTACCTAGGGTATGAAATTTCAGGAAACACTCACTCTCGAGATGGGGGTAAGCTGGGACTTCCCTGGTGGTCCACTGGCTAAGACTCTGCACTCCCAATGCAGGGGGCCGGGGTTCGATCCCTGGTCAGGGAACTAGATCCCACATGCAGCAGCTAAGAGTTCGCATGCTGCAACTAAGACCCAACATAACCAAATAAATAAATATTAAAAAAAAGAAAAGGTGAGGGTAGACCAGCCCTGCACTTACATGACTCTAAGAGTGAGTACTTCATGACTCTAAGAGTGAGCACTCTAAGAGTGTGCCTGAGGCATCTCTCTTGCCTCATCCTGGTTCTGGCTTTGTATAACCCTGACCATAGTTGGTTACAGACACCTATATAACTAAGACCTTAAAATGAACTCTGTATAAAAACTTTAATTCATAACATGCTTTGACTTTATTTCATCTAAGAAAACAGAAATGAGGTGATATTTCAGGAAAATCAATACCATGCCTGAAAACATTCAATGGCTCAAAAGTTTATCTGTAAGCGACGTTAGCCGGAATTTTGGACCATGTTATCTAGGTTAACCACAGTACGTCACTGTTGTACTTCTATTCCTTTATTCTTTTTCTTTTTTTTAATTAATTTTTATTGGACTATGGTTGCTTTACAATGTTGTGTTAGCCTCCAATATTTCTTATTATGACACGGCTTAGAACTTAGAAGTTCATTCTAGCAGAGTACCTCTCATGATTAAAATTTTTGGTAAGCTTGACTGACTACTGCTCTGGTTGATGCTGTGATATGCAAAACCACCTGACTTTGGTAAACCATTGATTAGAGAATGGATGAACCTGAATCCTGCAGTAGATCAAGAGTACTCAGTTTGTGTTGCTGCCAGTTCAGTGGGCAGAGTACACTATCTTCTTCAGCTGGCTGCTCTTCTGGTCCCATAATCTTCATACTGTCCCTGAGAAATGCCTTGGAGGTGAATGTGAGGTCAAGTGGTGGGACTCTGCCCCCATCCTTCAGTACACTTCCATCAGAAGAGCTCTTTTGTTTTGTTTTTTCTGTTTCAAGAACTGGAGTTCTGTTTAAAAGGTCTACATGCAAGGGACTCATTGAGGAGGGGAGCCAGTGATGAATGTGGAGCAGTACTTCTACAAGCTAAAATATCCTGAGCCAAAAAACTCTCTCTTTTGTGTCTTTTATTCCACTTACTAGACAGCTTTCCCACCCTCTTAAAAACCAATCTTCAAAACAGCCTCAAATGTTAGAATTCAGGACTCTTTACAGAGCTGTAGTCTCTGTTTTTATTTCATTTTTAAATGTTTTCATTCTTTGTTTTTAGATGCCAAGGAGAGCAGGTGCCAGCAGGCGAAGACACAGTTTGGAGTTGGCCTGAGATCTGGGGGAGAAAATCACCTCTGGCTTCTTGAAGGAACCCCCTCTCTGCAGACATGTTGGGCTGCCTGCTGCCAGGACTCCGCCTGTCATGCCTTTTGGTGGTTAGAAGGGATGTGCATTCAGGCAGACTGCAGCAGGCCCCAGAGCTGCCAGGCTTTTAGGACAGACTCTTCCAATTCTGTGCTGGTGTTTTTAAAAAAATTCCAAACTGCAGATGACCTGGACTTTCTACCTGAAGATGATGTACCACATATTCTGGGGCTAGCTTGGAGCAGGGTATCTTGGAGGAGGCAGAGCCCACCCAGAACTCCACTCAGACCTACTTTATCTTCCAGTGACCAGCAGAGCTTCATCAGGAAGCTTCGGAAGAGAGAGAGTCCCAGTGAAGAAGTAGCTACAGTGACACAGCCTTCTAAAATGAATGAGCGAGGTGATCTGAATACCACTAGCTCTGCAGAGGTAAGCATATTATGAATAAGGAGCAAAGAAGCTGTTTAATCTGCTTTCACATTTGGCACATACATGAGCTATGAAGCTGGTGCTTGTGGGCGGTGCTCCTAGGCTGAGGAGTGTATGTATAAAGCTGCTTGGTGTCATCTTAGTAGGTGCTGCTGCCCAGATGTTCAAGGTAATTTGACCTCAGAGATGTTCTTTCCCTGCAAGTCTGACCACTGTTTTGGTAAAAGCAGAAAGCTGCTCATTATCTCGTCTCAGCTGGCTCTTGGCTACAGGTGAGTGCAGTTGTGTGGGCGTTAGTCTCCACCAACAGTTCTGCAGTGTTTTCTGCCAGATTGCAGAACACTTGATTGATGTAGTTGCAGTCAAGTTCTCCTCCTCCTCCCCCATCTCCCTCCTGTAAACACATTCCTTAGGAGGTAGTTTCTATTCCACTCTGAAGTAACCATGCCTGGTATTACAGATGAAGACCTGACCTGCCGGGCTGGGGAGCTGGATGTGGCCATTAGCCAAGAGGTGTCGGGTGAATTCTTACCAAGCTTTGTATGCCAAGGGAGATACCACCGGTAGAGTTTATTCTGCTTATTATGTTTCTTCATTGTTGATCTTCCTGGGCGAATGATTAAAAGGAATGACTCACTCTGTGCTCGTTCTCCCTTGATTGCTGTGACTTATTTTTGTATTTGTTTTGTCCTAGTTGTCTCTATCAAGTTGAAGCCATACTAGGGAGGCTACTGCATGCTAGGCACTGTGTGTGCTAATCGTTATATTTTGTCATTTTGTTTAATTCTCATAGCAATATTTCCAAGTATGTATTATTAGCCCCGTTTTACTAGTGAGGAAACTGAGGCCCAAAGAGGTTAAACAATTTGATCATACAGCTAATGAATAACAAAGTTAGAATTGGAACCCAGATTTAATATTAAGGAAAAACCTTTCAGTGCAATATTAGAGATACAGTGTTAGGTTCAACATGCCCATAAACATTTATGGACATTTATTATAAATGTCAGGTACTTTTCGAAGCGCTAGAGAGATAAAGGTAAACAAGACATGATCTGTCCCTCAGGGAGTTTACAGTCTAGTGGAGACTCAGGCATGAAGATGGGTATTTATGATAGTGTATAATTATTGCATTAGTTGATTTACGAGCAGTAGGAGCACAAAAGAAGACGTGATCCTCCTGAGCAGGCAGGTGATGTGTATGTACAGGGAAGACTTCACTGAGATGCTTAACTTATTTCTTGAAGCATGTGGAGGATTTCACTAGGGGTTTAAAGGTAATAAAAAACATTCTGGAGGGAGATCCAGTGTGTGCAAAGGCTTGGTTACACATTTACTATCTGCAAGGTCCTGTACTAAAAGCAAGGCACTAGGAATATTATAGGAAATAAGATCATGATTCCTGCGCTAATGGAGCTTACCCTCTGACCAGGAAAATAGACATGACGTTTATGATAAATAATTATAAGCTTGATGCACATTATGAGAGGGTAAGTGGAGTGCTCTAAGAGCATCTAACAGAGACCTAATTGAGACTGAGGGGTAAAGTTAGGCCACCCTAAGTAAGGAAAGCTTAAGCTGAGACTTAAAGTAGAACTAGGAATTCGGAAAAGAAACAGGCAAAGAGTAATTCAGGCAGAAGGAATAACAGTTTCAAAGTTGGTTAGGTGCCCTAGAAAATTGGAAGATCGGGAAGTTGGGAGAGACTGGTCTTGCTTGGCAGACAGAGCAGGAGAGCTAGTGGAGAAAGAACAGGCTTCAGAGGTGTGCAGAACCTTGAGGCCTTCTTAAAGTATTAGTTTATCTTAAGCAGGGAATGAAATGATCAGATATGTTTTGTGTGGTGAGTAGACTGGAGAAGTGCAAGAATGTACATGGAACAATCAAGTAGGAGGCTCTTCAGGCAAGGGAACCATCTCACTAAAGAAGGCAGTTGAAGATACGCGAAAGGGGATAAATGATAAATACTCCCTCAGAGCTGAGGTTCTCAAACTTTAACAAGTGTCAGAATCACTTGGAGGCCTCATTCAAAACAGATAGCTGGGCCCAAGCTCCAAAGTTTCTGATTCAGTAGGTTTAGAGTGGGGCCTGAGAATTTGCATTTGTAACAAGTTCCTAGAGTGCTGATGCTGCTAGTCTGGGAACCACACTTTGAGAACCATGCCTTATAAGGCAGGTGGGTTAGAATCCAGAGCACAGGGCTTCCCTGGTGGCGCAGTGGTTGAGAATCCGCCTGCCAATGCAGGGGACACGGGTTTGAGCCCTGGTCCGGGAAGATCCCACGTGCCGTGGAGTAGCTAATCCCGAGTGCCACAATTACTGAGCCTGTGCTCTAGAGCCCGCGAGCCACAACTACTGAAGCTGGCGTGCCTAGAGCCTGTGCTCCGCAACAAGAGAAGCCACCACAAGGAGAAGCCCCCGCACCACAACGAAGAGTAGCCCCCTCTCACCGCAACTAGAGAAAAAGTCCGCGCAACAGGAATAAAGACTCAGACGTAGAGAATGAACTTGAGGACACGGGGAGGGGGAAGGGTAAGGTGAGACGAAGTGAGAGAGTGGCAGGGACTTATATATACTACCAAATGTAAAGTGGATAGTGGGAAGCAGCCACATAGCATGGGGAGATCAGCGCGGTGCTTTGTGACCAACTAGAGGGGTGGGATAGGGAGGGTGGGAGGGAGACACAAGAGGGAGGAGATATGGGGATATATGTGTATGTATAGCTGATTTACTTTGTTATAAAACAGAAACTAACACACCATTGTAAAGTAATTATACTCCAATAAAGATGTTAAAAAAAAAAACCCAAATGGAAGGACCTTCTACAAAACTAGTAGTCTTCAAATATGTCAAGATCATGAAAAAGAAAGACAGAACTGTCATAGACTGGAGGGAACAAAGGAGATACAACTAAATGCAGTGTTGGATGCTGGATGAGTCATGGACAAGAAAAAAGACTTTTTCCACTGAAAACAGGCAATATTCAAATAAGGTGATTAGTTAACAGTACTATATGAATGTTAATTTTCTGGCTTCAATATATATGTAAGATGTTAGCCTTAGGAGAAACAAGGTGAAGAGTATTTAGGAACTCTATACTATGTTTGCAACTTTGCAAAATAAAAAGTTTTTAAAAAGGCAGTGCCTGACACACGCACACACACAGAAAGCCTGTGCACAGCAATGAAGACCCAATGCAGCCAAAAATAAATAAATAAATAAATTTATTAAAAAACAAAAAAGAATCCAGAGCACAAGATTAGCCTTAAGCAGGAGGAGAGACATCTCCTTCATTGTGATAGGAAGGAAGAGATGGGTGGATATAGATGCGGCTAAGGTGGACTTTTAGGTTTGATAGGAGGAAATTGTGGTAGTTCTAATCTCATTCTTGTTTTTTCTGAAGTGGGATAGATCATTTATTGAAAGTAGAAGCAGAGGTAGGTGGAGTGGGGTTAGGTGGGTAGTAAGCAGGAAAATGAGAGGTCTGGAGAGAGTGGTAAAGGCCTGAAATGGCCATTGTGAGGGGTAGGAGATTGTAAACTAGGTAAGGAAATAGAAAGATTGCTGGGTGTCATTGAAGGTGGAGACCATGAATTTATAATTATAGTTGTATGATTCTCCTCAGTAGCTCTCAGCAACCCTGTCAGGAAAAGCCTGATAGTTTGATTCCTCCAAGATTAGAACTTTGCCAATTTTGTATAGAAGGAAATTGGGGCGTTGAGACTGAGGTTGTTGTCAAGAGAGTGGATGAAAGAGAGATGTAAGAAGAAAGGAAAAGAGACAAAAATAGGAGGAGCTGAAGGAGATTCAGTAGAGGAGTCTGGCATTCAGAGGTTCGATGATGGGAAGCAGATATAGGGGGACAGGTAAATGTGCTGGAAGGACAGAAGGTAGTCATCAGAGAGTGAGATATTTGAATTTAATATTCTGGAGGTGGAGAAGATATGGTGATTAGGGGATCTAGGGTGAAGCTATGGAAGAGAGTTGCTGGGGTAGAGCAGAGAAGAAATTTATTGGTGACAGGGAACTCATAGAACATGTTGAATGAGTTATCCATGTAGACATTGAGATAGACTTTAATAAGGATGATGATAATGATGACAGCAGTAGTAGCTAATGTTTACTGAGTACTTACTACTATTAGTAAGTACTATGTACTTAGTACTATGTCAGGTACTATTTCGAACCCTGTACACGAATCAACCCTTTTAATCTATGCAACAAATCCTGTGAATTACTATTACCATCTTTATTTTATAAATGAGGAAACTCAGGAAAAGAAAGGTTAAGGAACATGGCAACATAGCTATATGTGGTAGTACCAAGACTTGAACCCAGCAGTCTGATTCTATCCGGAGTCTGTCCTCTTAATCTGCTTACTCTTGAGGCAAGACTTGCAGTGAAGAGGAATTTTGAGATCCAGATGTCAAAGCCATCAGTAAAGTAGGAGGAGTAATGAGTAAGTTGAGAGATGACAGCTATGATGAGAGTTGAAGTATTGTGCAGCAAGATAGCAAAGGAGAAGAGGTTTTTACAAAGAAGATAGAAGAGTAATGATTTGCAAAGGCATTGAGAAGGGGAGCAAATAAATAGCAACCTACCTTTAATCCTAAAGTGTGGGAGAATAAGTAGCCATCCTATTGCAGAGATAAATGGGAAACAGTATCCTCAGGGGAGGGCAGGCTTACACTTAAGAATAGGAGGTCAGGGCTTCCCTGGTGGCGCAGTGGTTAAGAATCCGCCTGCCAGTGTAGGGGACGCGGGTTCGTGCCCCGGTCTGGGAAGATCCCACATGCCACAGAGCAGCTAGGCCCATGAACCACAACTACTGAGCCTGCGCGTCTGGAGCCTGTGCTCCGCAACGGGAGAGGCCACGACAGTGAGAGGCCCGTGCACCGCGATGAAGAGTGGCCCCTGCTCGCCGCAACTGGAGAAAGCCCTCGCACAGAAACGAAGACCCAACACAGCCAAAAATAAATATAAAAAATAAATTAATTAATTTTAAAAAATTCTGTGAATGTTTAAAAAAAAAAAAATTGGAGGTCAGGGACTTCCCCGGTAGTCCAGTGGTTAAGACTCCGAGCTTCCAATGCATGGGGCTTGGGTTCGATCCCTGCTCGGGGAACTAAGATCCCATGTGCCATGTGGTACGGCCAAAACAAAAACAAAAACAAAAAGGTAGGAGATCAGGGATCACTTTATGGGCATGTGACCTGTGCAGTCCCCACACTTAGAAAGACCTTGTTCTTGATTTAATGCTCTGCTCTCGTTATCTTGAAATTCTTAATTTTTGAATATGGAAGCCCACATTTTCATTTTCCACCAGATCCTGAAAATTTATATACCCTCTCCTGCAGGAGGTATAGGGAACAAAACATGAAATGATTGAGTGTACAGGTGACTTTCTGATCATTTGAACTGAATATTTGGAAGAAAAGGAGGTTGGGTTTTAAAGGAGAGGAAGTATATAGATCATTGTAGGGATAACAGTGTGGTGTGGTAAATGGTTCACAACTGGGTGTTCCCCCAGAAAACAAAGTCAAGCCCTGAGTTGTAGACTTTGCCAGTTTTCATGGTGTAAATACTACCACCGTGACCAATTTCAAGCTACCAACATGAAGTCACTGAACACAGAGTTGGCAGAGATGA